GTATGAAAAGGTACCAAATGACCCAGTAAAAGATGCACACTTTAATTTCATTACCTTTGGTCCAGGCAAGCCATCAGAACCTGGAAAACCACGGTTACCAGGAGCACCCTAGGAAAAGCCACAGATATGGGGTGATTATCTTAATTTTTACATATCTTACTGAAAATAAAGTACTAGATTTAGAGGTTGGGGCTTCAGTTTATTTCCTTACAAATTCCTTACTTCAATACTTTGAACTTACTACCACTCAGAATGGTAAAAATATCAGTGTTTCATTTGTGCATGCTGCACAGTTCCTTCTATGTGAACAGCCTCATTGAAAGCAAGATGGCCATTTGTACAGGGTTAAGCAAGAAATCTGAGATTTGACTGTTGTATCTCCATTATTTCTCCTACCATACTATCCTGTGCACTGAACCCAGAAATGAAAACATCCAGTTTAAGGAAAAAAACCACCAAAAAACAAAAAAGAAAAAAGATAATGATATAAAACTACTGTTAGGAAAATAAAGTTTGACTATACCCAGAACAAACCTGTAAGAAAACTCATGGTTACCTCAGCAGGTTTTTCAGTTTAGCGTTGCCTTTCTCAAGACATATTATTCCTTTGGATTGCTTACCCTCTCTCCAACAGGACCTGGTGGACCTACTGACCCTGGATCACCTCGAGGACCTCTTTTCCCTTCTTCACCTATAGGGCCAATGGGACCCTGAGGACCTTGTGGGCCCTAATGAAAGTAAAATGTTTAAAAAAGACAAAATTACCGTTAGCTCACCACTTCTCAGGTATATTGAAACAAAGTGTCTTCTAAACATCAGAAACATTTTTCCAAATAAAAGAGGAAAAAAAAATAGGTTTTGAACTACTTAAAAGGTACATCTTTTCAGCATTAGTTTGTCTCTTATACAATGCTTATAATCTAACTAAATAACAGCACTGTGAACAAACTGTAATTCTGCAGTTCAGCTGTATAGTGCTTCTCATAATCACCTATTTGGTCAGATGATAATTTGTATTTATTGTTATCAACTGGGCAAGCTGCAAGGGAGTCAAAATTCAGTGAGACTCTAGTAGAAATTCTAACAGAAGACAGTCAGTGGAAAGGAAACCATTATTTCGTCTGTATGTTTCTGTCAGTTATTACATGATCATTTAACTAGTGAGAAAGAAAAACTGAAGATTGGTTGACAAGTCAAACTGACTCCAACGCTGCAGAATTACTTTTTTTCCAAAATTCACATGGTTACAGCATGAAATTAGCCATGCTCTCAAATAATCTTCCACAAATATTAGCTGTGTGCTACACAGCTCTTCATACCATAAATGTATAAATATTTATATTATTTTAAGGTATGAACAAAATATAATTAATATATACATACCTGCATAAGTGTATTAAGTGTAAAATAAAAAGGACCCTTTTATTATGATTAGCACGCAGACCTGTGTGCTCTTAAATGTCCAGGATCACATGGATCCATTTCCTATGAGATTGGGAAATTGGAATACAGTCATTCTGAGTGCTGCAGAAACCCCAGTAAATGCACTTAATTGTTTTTTCTGTCCTTGAGTCTTGTAAGGCCTATATTGAGTAGGTGATTTATAACATCAAAAGACCTGCTTCACCATTCATTGTTAGTACTGTCTAGCCAGGTTCACTCTGGTTTGTTCCACAATAATTACTCTCATGATTACGAGCATCAAAAGTGTCATGAAAAATTTAAGAATCTATCCAAAATACTCATACAAGCCTTTGTGATTTCTTTTCATGTTACAAAATGGAGACTTACAGGTTCACCTTTGGGTCCTGCTTCTCCCTTGAAACCTGGGACACCTGGGTCTCCCTGAAAACACACAAATAACACCCATGAGGTTAAAACTCTGCATAAATCATTTGACCATTTTGTATTATGCTGTGAAACAGAAAAACGGTTCCTAGTTTAGTAACTAGTTATAGGCAATATAATAGGTGCTTGTGACAGTTTGTCTTTCCCCTTAGCATGCTTATTTATTTAGATGTTATCAAGACAAACTTAAATTTGACAATTCCAGGAGACAACAGTTACTGTTTGTCCAAGGCTATACAGACACTCTTTTTTAATTAGACCTTTAAGAAAGCAATCCCAGTATTTTGGACACACAGAAGATTCACAAGATCCAATCTTGGCATACTCTCTAGCATGCTATTAACTTATTTAAAGGAACCCCACTGTTAATTGTAGAATCACAGAATGGTTTGGGATTGAGCTGGAAGGGAAATTAAAGATCATCTAGTTCCAACCCCCTGCCATGGGCAGGGAGACCTTCCACTAGACCAGGTTGCTTAAAGCCCCATCCAGCCTGGCCTTGAACACTGCCAGGGATGGAGCAGTCACAGCTTCTCTGGGCACCCTGTTCTGGTGTCTCACCACCTTCACAGTAAAGAATTTCTTCCTTCTATCTAACCTAAATCTGTCCTCTGTCAGTTTAAAGCCATTCCCCTTGTCCTGTCCCTACACGCCCTTGTAAAAAGTCCCTCTCCAGATATCTTGCAGGCCCCCTTTAGGTCTGCTATAGGTCTCCCCAAAGCCTTCTCTTCACCAGGCTGAACAAGCCCAACTCTCTCAGTCTGTCTTCATAGGAGAGGTGCTCCAGCCCTCTGTTCATCTTCATGGCCCTCCTCTGGACTCACCCCCACAGGTCCATGTCCCACTTGTGCTGGGGACCCCAGAGGTGGACACAGTACATGGGGTTGTGTCTCAGGAGAGCCGAGTAGATGGGGAGAACCACCTCCTTCAACCTGCTGGCCACTCTCCTTTTGCTTACAGCCCAGGATACAGCTCACTGTTTTAGTTTCACAGACTGACACATTTGCAAGACCTGACAATTTTGACAAAGACATCATTACCGGCTGGCCTCGAATACCCGGTGGGCCGGTACTGCCTTGTGGTCCTGGGGAACCAGGTGGACCTGATAAACCAGGGGGGCCTCCAGTCCCTGGAGATCCCTACAGATAGAAAGAAAAGCAAGTACAGTAAGGAAACATAATAAAAATAAGGAAATAAAGTGAATTCACTTACATGATTTCTTCAGCAAGTGATAGGATTACTTACAGTAGGGCCCTTAGCACCTGGGGAACCATCTGTCCCTTCGGTACCCTAGAGATAACATACCAATTATTAAAATTAATTCTACTGAGAAGGATATTGATAACAAGCAGATGATGATAATTATTTTATCCACTTTAGAAGACCAATAAAGTCTGGTCTTACAAGACAATAAATTAAATAAATACAGTAACACATATGATCTACTTGTGCAAATGCCAATAGGGGTAACACATGCAAGTTAATACGATTCTGAATCTTTAAGATCTTATGTTTAAGTTTAAGCTTTAAAGTACTTCTAGGATTGAGACTGTATCAAGCTGTGTAACTTTCAGTTTTCCAAGTTGCTTTAATTAATTAATGAAAAGTTATTTTCAATAAAATAAGCACAAAACAAATGAATGAGACCTTTTCATTCCTGAGAAAAAAGTAATGTGAGTACAAATCAATGTCTATCAAGTTGGGTATTAAAATTCCTTGTGCAACATGTGCAAGCTGAGCACTGAGGAACTCAATTTAATATACTTACAGGAAGACCTTGTGATCCAGCTGGGCCCTGTGGACCTGTTTCACCTCTTTGTCCTTGAGGACCTTCAGGACCACGAGGTCCTGTTGGACCTGCTTCACCCTAAGATTTCATATGAGAAAACAGCTGGAGATTATTTTGCTCTACAAAGTAGCACTATGAAGTAACTAAGGAGGAATACTGATTTTATAAAAAAACAATACAGAATTTGAAATAGTTCATTATCCTTAAAATATATTTTTGCTTTCCTAGTTCTGCTTCTACTTCTTTTATGTGAATGTAAACTTTAAAAGTACAAACAGATTTTTTCCTCAAAATATACAAGAAAACTTTCTACAGAGAAGCAGCACTATAACACCAGTGACCCAAATCAGATAAAATGTTTTAGATAGACATCTGTCTCTAAAATACCAGTATGTATCTGTAATTTGGCAACTTTTTTGTAGCTTCAGTAACAGCTAAAGCTTAAGATTTGGAAATCGTAACACATCTGTTTGGGGCTTTTTTGCACAGTACAGATTGACTGACTGTTGCAGCACTATATAAAATCCCTGTAAGATTGGACTGGATGCTCAAATAAAAAAATTCCTCCTGGCACCTCCTTTGAAACCTCTTTATACAGCAGATTTGCTTTTTGGAACTGGTGGCTGCTAATATCATGTCTCCATAACTGAAATCCACACGTTCATTGTATAGTCTGCTTAGCTTTTACGAGTTCAACACAGCTCTTCCAATTTTACGTCATCTGATGATCAAACTTGAAGACAGCTCCTCCTTTCCAAAGTTTTCATTGGTTCATCATATGGCAGCTTCTCTAAACATTTATTTAGGTATTAACTAGTACTTAGTCACACCAAAACATTTATTATATGCACTAAAAGGTCTACGATTTAATTGTATACATTATGTTAATCCTGTTACTGAGACTTGTTGCCAAAAAAACCTTTTGTGAATGTTGCCAGCTTCAGAACACAAAACACCTGCTGAAAACTAATTGAGAGTTTCTTCTTGCATAATTTTCTCCTATCATGTTTTAGGAGTGTAAAGGAACAAAAAGGAGCACCTGGGTGGAGGACAAGTATAAGAAGTGGAAGAAAGCTGTATGAGCCATAAGAGGTGGTAATCATCATGTGCTCTATCATGATGAGCTGCAGTACATCTCAGGTATGGTTCAGGCATTTGTCTTACCAGCCTAGGTTATCTCAAAAAGTGTTCTCAGCTGAAAATGGAAGTTTCAGCACTATAAGGTACTGCTTGAATACCGTCTTAGACTAGTCCTTGCAACTTAACTTGTAATAACGCATCTTGTTATTCTTTGAATGTGCTGGACAAGATCCTGAGGCACCGCATGACAGTCATTTTATAATCACCCCTGTCCTGGGTTCAGCTACAGCAGTCATTTTTTCTCCTTCTTAGTAGCTGGTGCAGTGCTGTGTTTTTGACTTTCAGTCTGGGAACAATGCTGATAACACCGATGTTTTTAGTTGTTGCTCAGTAATGTTTACTCTGACCAAGGACTTTCTCAGTCTCATGCTTTGCCAGAGAGGAGGGGAAGCCAGGAGGAAGCAGAGGCAGGACACCTGACCCAAACTGGCCAAAGGGCTATTCCATACCACAGCACGTCATGCCCAGTATATAAACTGGGGGGAGTTACCCGGAAGGCCCAGATCGCTGCTCGGGTCGGGCTGGGTATCGGTCGGCGGGTAGTGAGCGGTTGTGTCCTTTTCCCTTGTTATTCCTCTTATCATTATTATTGGTAGCAGTAGTGGTTTGTATTATACCTTAGTTACTGGAGAGCTGTTATCTCAACTCGTGGGAGTTACATTCCTTCGGTTCTCCTCCCCCTCCCCCCGCGAGCGGGGGGAGGAAGGAAAAGGGGGGGAGTGAGCGAGCGGCTGCGTGGTTCCAAGCACGACAACCCCTTAGCTCAAGCAAAAGTGAAAGCAAAGACAGTAACCTAACTGTGGTAAATTGCAGATGCTTCATTTGGCCTCTGATTTCTGTCTCCTGTCGCAAGGTCTTGACTAAGATTGATTTCACAGCAACTCTTAATGACCTGTATACATGTCAGTCTGAAGCCTGTGTAGTCGAGGACACACTTTTATTCTATGGACTTAGACATATTGAAAAGATATTTTAATTTTATTTTTTACCTTTACACCTGGAGCACCTGGAAAACCTGGAGAACCAGTTATGCCAAGTGGGCCCTATAAAAGACAGACACACAAAGCTGTAATTCTGCAGTTTAGGTCACAGATTAGTATCTAATCACTGGGTGAATATGGTTCTGGGATTAAGTGTATTTTTTAGTCATAGAACATTTGTTTTAACAGAACAAAAATAATTATAATCTAAGTGATACAGACACATTTTATGGAATTGTGGTGCAGTATTTTAATAATATTTAATATTAAA